CTGCCCCCACCCCCCCGAGCCCCGGGGGATGTGGGTAGGCTCCACAAAAAAAAAGTAGGATCAGGCCCATCATCATGACAGTGATGGTATCCCCTAAATTGAAATGGTGGGTTTTTAATCACCAAAATCCTGAGTCTTTGGTGCCCAGGTGTGAAAAGGGACAACAGTGCTTCCATTCTCTCTCCTTTGTCTTGCCTTCAAGGAAAGGCCTGGCCTTTGATGTATATAGATACAGCACTTAAGACAACTGGACCTTGCTCTTGGTTTGCTTCCATGAATTCAATTCTGAACTGACTGACTTCAATGGGACTGGCATTTCCTTCTATGTGCTATTAGTATACAGTTAGAATAATCATGTAGTGACATTGATGACTATCGAATTCAACTGAAAGGCATTTAGAGGAAAGAGAGAAAGATGAAGGACTTAACTCTGCTTTGGATGAGCAATTCTACCCATCCAGTGCCAGTCCCAAACCCAGATAGAGAAGGGTTAGCGTCAGTAAGGGCATCCAGCTGTAAAAACCTCTGCCAAATCATCATGATGCCAAGGAACATGATGCCAAGATCCGCAACAGCAACCCCATTTAGACAGGACAGCAAGGGGAGGAGAAGGAGAAAAGGGGCTTGCCTATAAGACAGGAAAGATGAGGGACTTGCATAGGTAGCAATGAATGCACAGAATAAAGAAAAAGGATAGCAAAGGAAGAAAAGCACTAGCAGGAGTAGAGATGGAGATTAAAGGAGCAGATCCGGAAAACCTTGTAGGCGCTTCCTCTTCGGCACTTCCTCAAGAGGGAGATTCAAATAGAAGTAAGGCACTTGGATCTCTAAACAGTGAATGAAACAAATGCTGGGGGTTTCTGAAAGGTGGTCCAGAGCACTTAGGCACTGGGCAGGAAGGCACCTACAGCAAAGGTGTGCTTCTGATGTCCTGTCCACTTTATACCTTAGGCATTTGACTCAAGACTGCAAATGGGGTGCTCCATCATCTCAAACCAGAGCATCTAGAGGGGGTACCCTACCTCACAGGTGTGAGCTCTTTTGGCTCTTAAACAACATGGCTATCCAACTATCTAATGGTTAAAGCACTTACCCAGGCAGTGGGAGATCTGGGTTACAGACACTCCTTACACTGAGAGACTCATCCCCCACTTACTAGGAGAGTTCCCTAACAGCCAGGATATGGGTTGGGTGGTTGGAAGTGGCACCCTGTATCCTTCCTGTTAAAGCTGGGCCCCTGGATTATGAAGAACTGAAAGGAGGGATGATTGGAAAAGATTACCAAAATCTGTGCCTCTGGAGATAATTTTCACCTATATCTCAACAAATAGCCCTTGCCCTGAGCAAGTAAGCATGTGTCCTACTATTTACAGGCACACCAGACATGCAGAAGAAAGCAGAATAAAAAAAAAATATTTTTCTTTGAAAAGAAAGGTGAGGGAATGAGCAGAGTCCCAGAAAAACATGGGAAAGCACGGACTTCCCTTGCAGGCTGGCAGCATTCCAGTCTGCAAGGAAATGCTTACGGTAATTGGAGGCAGTGGGTGAACATGCAATCGCATGCACACATGCACATGGCCGGCATACAGCCAGGCAGGATCAAGGGAGCAGCCCCAGCAGCTGGATGCAGGTAAGTGTATTCAGAGTGGAAGCTGGAGAGCCCAGGCCTGGGGGGGGGGGGGGGGGGGGGGGGGGGGGGGGGGAAAA